CACTTCAAAAAGTTATAGCAGAGATGGCAAAATAAAAGTTAGCGTAGCTAGAGAAGTCTTTACAGGCCACAGTAATTTCTGCTGTAAATCAAAATAGCCTCTCGTTTTGGTCCTCTGAGCACAATGGTCAAACAAAATACCACACGGAGTACACACAGTTGTTAATTTCCCGAAGGCTTGATTGATAAAGAACTGTTAAGCAGTCAAAACCCCATGCAGATCATCAGCTGTGTAATGTCCAGCTACAAAAGTGAAGCCCCTGATAAAATGCATACCTCATATGTGCTTACAAAATACACGACTTCCAAAAGGCTCCACCCCCTAACTGTAGCATACAAAATCAAGAAAACTAATGCATAAGAAGTGCAAGCAAAAACTTTTACATGGGGGACCAGGAGCCGAAGATCAAGAGGACCAGTAGGTTTGTAATATGTAGATATCTCCTCACCAAACCCGAGCTCTAGTGCGACACACTTACCCTACAACTGTGGCATCTTAGGCAGTGAAATGATTTAACCATTTAATTGTTTACAAGCACTGATATAAGACCTGTTTTTACCAAATTTCAGTACCAACTGAATCAGCCCATTAGGCTGTAACAGTGCCAGCAGTAAAACTCCCTCTGCCTCAGCCAAAGGGCAGCCTGACAGGGGAACCTACAAATGAACTAGGAGACAAAATTAAGGTGCAGGAGTTATTCTAAAGGGACTGGATTTTTCTTCAGTGCTAAAACTCTCTTCAAGTAGTTTTACTTAGTTCACTCTTAGAAGTCTTGTGAGCATAAGTAAGTCTGGTCAAATGATTGTTAAACAAGACAGAAGTTGGCAGCACACGTGCAGCTCACGTGGCTGTTGATTAGATAGATGCCTCTGTCTCTGGCAGAGCATCAAGAGGTGGCACAGTCCCTCTGTCTAGGAGGATGGGCTGGATGTTCTCTGTTGGTCACAGCACCCAAAACAATCTCGTGGCAAATGGCAAGGAGCAAATGGAGATATGACTAAGAGAACAGACAACAGCTGTTTCTCTCTGGGAGGATTCTCTGAAGCTCCTCATTTGAGCCCCTGGTGACTGGAAAGGGTTTGGTGAAGCAGCTGCACTCACTGGAAAAGGATGCCACACAGGGATTTGAGGGAAGGTGCCTTTTTGGTCTGGTCTTCTACAAGCCCCATAGGTAGGCAGTCCCTGGAGCACAACGAAGTCTCACCTCATTTAATGTCAGGCATTTTTTGGTCCTTCCACTCATTTGTGTTTTGTAACTCATATCTTCCTCACTGCCCAGCAATGAGGCCGTCTTGCAGGGGCGGTTATCCAGACTCCTGCGAAGCCACTGGGATAACTTCTGTTGACTAAACAGGACTGTGATTTCTCCCTTTCTCTCCTTGTTCACTGGTAGGCTTACGAGAGATACCGTAACTGCCTCTACCACACAGCACAACAATTGTTGGGGCCTTCTGCATACAGTTTAAATAAAGTAGGCAGTTAAAGCAAAGCTGAGCTCTTCCATAATTTGGGGAGCGACTTATTAGGGTAACTGGTCAGGACCATGGGGAACATGATCAACAAAAGAATCAATGTATCTGAGGCACTTCATTGCTCCATCCCTAGTGTACATTGTTTGAATGTTAAAACCACAGGTACTTAAAGAGCTCCAGCGCCCTCAGCTAAGGATCTCACTATTATTAAGAAAAATTGTAAAATTTCAAGGGTTTCTTTTTCATGTTCATCCTTATTAAAAGCTGTGAGGTACTTACGACTGCGCTGTCCAGGCTGAAACACACTATACTCACCATGAATTGCCCATAAAGTTAACAAGGATTAGCCTGAATTTTCTGCCGTAAAGGGTCAGAACCCTTTAAGATAAAACCGTTCTTGAAGTCAGATCTTTTTGCAACTCCCAAAGGGAATCTAAAAGGATTAACTGCCTGAACACTAACATCTAAAACTAGAAGTACCTAACAGCTCCTGCTGTTACCTCAAATTTCATGCCCCAAGCAGTTCTGGAGATTATATTCTCTTTTACTTAGATAGTAAGATTTCTGATGTCTCTTAGTTTCCTTGATTCTTTGTGGGTGACATATCCCACCTAGCTTACAAAACACCTTATTCCCTCCTTCTGAATTCCTCATCTACACAGAAGAAATTAATTTAATTTAAGCCCAGGCATTTTTGTTTGCTGCAGACTCTGATATCCAAGAGATATCACACCTGTGATCACATTGCCAAGACATGTTCTTGTTCTCTCTGCTGTGTAATAAACAAAACATGTTAGGGCTGGTATTTCTGAAGCACAGCTTTCTTTCGCTGATCTGATACCTCCCTCCTTGGCATAAACAAACAGTGAATGAATCAGTGTCCATGTCATAAAATTTTGGTCATAAATAACAGAAACCATAATAACCAGATGAACAATACATGCATATACATACAGATCATATATGGAGGAAGCATGATTTTGAACCAGGTGCACTGCCCAGCAGGGGCAGCAGTAAATACAGCTCATTAACTTGGATTCTGTACTCCTGTGTGGCTCTATATTAATTTCTGTGCTAACCACAGCAACAAAACCACTCAGCATAGTCATAAAATACCCCAAAAGATGCAGTCCAGTAGGCTGTAGGTTCTTTTGGGGGGGGTGGGGTTTTTTTGGTAGTGTGCTTTTAGGCCAAAAATTCTACAGGAGAAGATTTTTCGAAGTCTGGAAGCTGATCATGTAAATCTCTTTTTTTTTGTCCTGGATTTTTTGAAGACTTTGGTTAGACAGAAGTCTTTTACAGAGAACACTGCAGATAATATGTGGGTTTTGTCTCAAAACCTGCTTTTCAGTGCTGCAGTGATAGGCAAACTGTTTGATCTACTGCCATTTGATCATGTGAGACACAATTGTATTTGGAAAACTAAAGAGGTAAAACGCAAAATGCCTCAGGCAGAGATAGAAACAAGGACTTCTATTTCTTGAGAAGCAAATGAATTGTTACAGTGCATAACTACCACCATATTTAACTCCAGACCAGGAGGAGGAAAAAAAAAATCAAGCAACTATTCTGAAATAACAAGGAGATTAAAGGAAGAACCTTCTACCCCCATCCCCCATCTTTTTATAGACAATCAGGCACAGAATCCATGTAATTAATCATTCTCTAATTAGTCTCTTTCTTTTTCTGTAATGGAAAAGCAGCACCACATTGTTTAAAATTCCTGCCATACTGTTGTGCTGATTCACAGACGCTATTGGGGGAAAATCTCATTGTTTCCAGACACAGAAAGCAATCAAAACCCTTACTGAAGAAAGGCTGTCACAAAGCCCTATGATATGACTGCGAGCATGTAGACTTCAAGTGAGTAAACGAATTCTCACTTGGAGACGGACGCAGCTGCCATCAGAACATCAACATTTTAGATGCCCCTTCTCTGAACTCTGTCCTGTCTATCTGGACAAGATCTTTGGGACAGGAATGACTATGTGCGTGTATGGCATCCAGCATGATGGGGACAGTGACCTCTGCTTGCTGGAAATGCTCTAATGAGGAGAAGCAGTAACGAAAGCAAGAGACAAAGACTCCCATAATTTGCTGAAGTATCCAAAAGGATCATGCTTGAAGCTAGGTTATGTAACTCACAGCAGTTCTTGCAGAATAGACTTTTATCTTTTCCTATCTTATTATCGGTATTTTGGTGTTAATTCCAAGTAAAAGAGATACCTTAGTGAAGCCTTCAGGAGAGGTGTAATATCACATATATGACTTGGGAAAAGATTTGTGCCCAAAAATAGGCTGGAGGCTTCAACGTATCTGTTGACCATCACTTCTGCTATGGTCAGTAGAGACAGTGTGATGTCTAATAAGGCCCGTGGAAATTATACAGGCTGGAGTTAACCACAGGAGTGCAAAGCACAGAGGGCTGTGTAGGAGGTATCTCCCCTCCCGCGTTCCCCTGCAATCCATTACAGGTAAATTCATACTGGTATTTTAACCAGTGCCAGGAAATATGTCTGGACACTGGAACGTGAGAGTCTGTACTGCTGAAATTCTAGAAGAACCACCGGAATACCTTTGGTTTAGGACAGATTAGCCCTCCTCCAAAAAACTCGCAGGGACAACTCGGAGCTGATGTGGGACAGGGACTGTTCCCAGCAGGCAGCTGCACACTGTCACCTTGTTCTGGAGCTGGAGTGAGTCTAATAGCATGGACGCAGCCCGGTGGTGCTGTCTGGCCAAGGGCCAGAGAATA